CTCGTGATGGAGTAGATATACAATTTTTTAAAAGGCGTCAATTGTTGTGAAGTCGGTAGTTGTGAGGTCGGTAGAAGTCTTCTGAAATTTATTTTCCAAAAAAAGTGGCTCGAAATTTGTCCCTACATAATAGAAATAGCTGAAAAAATACAAGCATGCCCAGCATTATGTGAACTAAAACATGGTAAGTATTATGCACAATACATATACAGGGTGAGTCTTTCCATATCCGACAAAATTTTTTAGAAGGTAGAACGGATCGAGATAAACGGAAAAGTCCTGTACCATTTTGCAATTTTCGTAACAGTTAACGAGTAATTATTAAAAATCGTCGTCTTAGGCCGGTCTACCGCCCAATTCGAGTGCGTGGCGAGATGTGCGCATAGCAATATCGATTGCCGGGCGGTCACATCTTGCCACGCGCTCGAATTGGGTAGTAGGCCGGCCTAAGACAACGATCTTTAATAATTAATTACTCGTTAACTATTACGAAAATTGCAAAATGGTACAGGGCTTTTCCGTTCATCTCGATCCGTTCTACCTTCTCAAAAATTTTGTCGGATATGGAAAGACTCACCCTGTGTACAAGCAAGCAAGCACGCACGCACACGCACACACGCACACATGCACGTACACAAAAGTATATTTATGTGTATATTTTAGATGTACCAGTTGATGTACTAAGTCTTTTTATTTTACCATATATATTTGATTCAAGCCATGTGAAGACAGGCAACAAAAAGAAGTGGAAACCCTCGAAAGTTAAAGTTGCTGAAAGCTTTATCTGTCGAATTCCTGTAAGTTCCTTTTAACATGTTTGAGAAAAACTATCTTACTATTTGTGACACGTATGTTTAGATTTAAATGTGTATTATTACATTGTAATTTTATGTTTTACAGAATATAGCACAATTAGAACCTATATTACAACAACGGAAAGAGAAACTTCAAGCTGTAGGTTTAACACTTCAGCCATCAGTGATTGCAGTGGGTTCGCTTATAAATCTTACATCTTTTTATGTTCTCGTGAATGACGTTAAGTATACATTAACAAATCTGCCAAATGCAGTAGATCTGTGTTTTCAAGCTTTCTTTGCATTAGATGCAAAATATCCAGTCGACTGCGAAAGAGTATGATATTTTTTACAACGGCATGTATACTGTTGTTTCGGCGGATGTATCGCCGTCTCGATAATATCGCCCCTTCCTTTCGGAAGAAACGAACCAGTCTTTTCGCGTAAATAAAACTCACTCACACAGTTGTACTATGAACTTTATTGTCGGCCGGTGAATCGCCTCGCTACCGAACTCGTGCGAGGGCGAAAGCGAACTCTCTCGACTCAACATGTCGTCGCTTATACCTATAACAAAAAAAAACAAAAACCGAGCGTGCTCTCCGCATGCACGCCGCTCGTCGCGCCATCCCCGGGGGCCGATTTACATGGACGCCGCTTAAAGCAGCAATCGCTACACAACTTAGCCGTAACATGCCGCCCGCCTTGACAAACAAGGAACGAGTTTTCAACATAACCCATTACAATAACCTCTCACAACTTCCACTCACATAATACATGGCTATAACTAACTTAATTCTAACGCTTAACTCTAATAGGATTATGTACGCATTTAAACCATCGGACTCAGTCAATAGGAATCGGCGCTAGCTTCACCATCGGTCTTTTGCACTGGCCCTTAGCCGTGCGTACCGTTACCGCACGCACCACTCCATCTTCCCCCGGATGTATGTCCATTATCCTGGCCATCGTCCACTTGCACGGCATGGCTTCGTCTTCGTTCAACATCACCAACTGCCCTACTTGCACCGTCTCCTGTCTTGCAGTTCTCCATTTGGATCTTTGCTGACATGTAGTTAAGTGAATACTTTGACCATCGCGACCAGAACCTCTGCCGGATTTGCTCAGCATGTTGCCACCTTGATAGCCGTGAAATTGGTATGTCCTGTAGGTCAGGCTGAGGTATGCACATCATTGCACTTCCTATCAGGAAGTGAGCCGGGGTTAACACCCCCAGATCTCGCCGGTCCTCAGATAATGGTGTGATAGGCCTCGAGTTCATAATCGCTTCGATCTGGCTCAGCACTGTTACCATCTCGGACACAGTAAGAGACGCGCTTCCTATCGTACGTTTCAAGTGTCGCTTCATCGTTTTCACGGCCGCTTCCCATAGGCCGCCGAAATGTGGCGCTCTGGGTGGGATGAAATGCCACCTTATTCCGTTGCTGGAACAATGCTACGGAACCCTTTCCTTAAGCTGCGGGTCGTTGAGAATTTGCTGAATTTCTCTTTCCGCTCCTACAAAATTTCTACCGTTGTCCGAGTATACATATGTCTGACGGCAGTCCTCTTCTTGCCTCAAACCGTTTTAGTGATCCTAAGAAGGCTTCAGTAGTCAGGTCGTCCACCAATTCGATATGAACGGCCTTTGTAGCCATACACACAAATATGGCCACATAAGCTTTGTACTGCTTACTGTTTCTTCGCACGCGATCCCTTACAAAGATAGGTCCGCAGTAATCCAATCCCACCTTCGCAAAAGGTCTCGATATCTGAACTCTCGCCTCTGGTAACTGACCCATAATCTGCTGATAGGGCTTGGGTTGCGCCTTCCTACAAACAACGCATTTAGCCAAGTACCTTTTCACAGTGCTCATTCCCGATATAGGCCAGAACTCGCACCGCACCGCCGCCAAGGTGGCCGCAAGTCCTGCGTGGAACAACCTAACATGACGGTCCATGTTGATCAGTCTCGTCAGATGATGCTCGGAAGGAATTACCAACGGGTGTTTTGCATCTGTGGACAGCATCGACCAATCCAGTCTTCCGCCCACTCTTATTAATCCCTCCGTATCCAAATATGGTCTCAGGCTAATTAGTTTGGAACTTCTCTTAACCTCTCGCTCTCCTTTCAATTTTTGGATATCCTCGATCCATGTCGATGCTTGTACTGATGCGATTATCACATTTCGCGCTCTCTCTAATTCCGCCGGCGAAATATGACTAGCTGAATAAACACTTTCGTCCTTTCTTAACTTATTTACGAACCTTAACACATAAGCTAGCACGCGTAGCAGCCTAGGATAAGAAGAGAATCTTTCAAATTCTACGACAGTCGCAGTGACTAATGCTATTGCTACCGGCACCCGCCTACGCTGCTCAGGAACACAGTTCAGACTCACATCAAGGGTTTCCGCGTCTCGAAATTGGCTCGCCGTCTTTAGCCAAGGCGGACCCTCCCACCATAATGTAGACTCGTTCAAGAACATAGGAGTTGACCCCCTCGATATTAGATCAGCCGGGTTATCTCGTGACTTCACATGATGCCACTCGCCAGAAGAGGAGCTGCTTTGAATTTCGCTTACTCTGTTAGCCACAAAAGTCTGCCACCTCCTTGAAGGTGCACCTATCCAAGCCAGGACAATTTTGGAGTCTGTCCAATAATGTCTCTCTTCTATTTCGATCTTCAAGGCTTCGACCACCTTGTTCATTAATCTAACCAGTAATGCCGCACCGCACAATTCTAGCCTCGGCAAGGACATAGCCTTCAATGGTGCTACCCTGGACTTGGAACATACTAACTTGGAACTAATGTCTCGATTTGGAATTCTCGCACACCATATATGTATATGCACGCCCCGTACGCCTTTTCGCTCGCGTCACTGAATCCGTGCAAACTCGTTTTGTGTACATCCATCGCGCCTATCAGTCTAGGTATTTTCGTTGAATGTAAGTCGGACAGCTGTGACCTGAATGCTAACCAAGAATTCTGAACGTTCAGTGGCACGGAATCGTCCCATCCCACTTTACAGATCCATAACTCTTGCATTAAAATCTTCGCGGACGTGATAACTGGACCTATTATGCCTAAAGGATCAAACAATCCAGCTATTTCCGACAATATTGCTCTTTTAGTAACTCGCCCTTTTTTCTGCTGTTTTGCCGCCATGAAATGCAACGTGTCCGTGATCGGAGACCAGCCTATTCCCAGTAATTTTGTTTCGCGTTCCTGTTCGGACTTGAATATGCTACCCAAATCGAACGCCTTTTTCTCACCCAGATTCCCTACGTTGCTGTTCCACTTATGCAGCGCGAACCCGCCTAAACTCAGCAACGCCTCTAGCTGCTCCTTTAGGGACGCCAATTCCTCCACGGTTTCAGCGCCGGTCAAGAGATCGTCCATATACAGATCTTCCATCAAGACCTTGGCTGCTAACGGAAATTCCTTACCTTCCTCCTTGGCTAATTGCTGCACACACTTGACGGCTATGTATGACGCAGGCTTTGTCCCGTAAGTCAGCGTCAACAATTCGTATGTCTTCAAGGGCTGATCAGGGCCTTCCCTCCAATAGATCGTCTGAAAGGGCGTATGGTCGCTATGAACCAAAATTTGCCTATACATTTTCACTATGTCAGCGGTTAAAATGTAATTGTGACAGCGAAACCTCACGAGAAGCGAAAACAAATCCGACTGCAATGTTGGACCTTTGTGTAATGCGTCGTTAAGAGACATTCCTCCGCTCCTTGCTCGACGCGTCGAACACGACTCTAACTCTTGTGGAACTTTTGTCATTTCTCACGACCGCTTGATGCGGCAGGAAAATTCTCAACTTGTCTTCCGCGTCATGTATTTCCTTCATGTGACCCAATCGTTCATAGTCCCTCATGAATTGAATGTATTCATTCTTTAGTTCGGCATCCTTGTTTAGTCTCCTTTCCAACGAAAGAAATCGTCGTCGCGCGATGTCTCTTGACTCACCGCTCTTCTCCAAAACGCCTTCCTTTATCGGCAATTTAACCACGAATCTGCCTTGCTCATTCCTCCCGTACGTGTCTTTGAAGAACTCTTCGCATGCCGCTTCTTCCTCACTACATTCACTCCTTTCTGGCACATTATCTAGCTTCCAGAATAGCCTTAACGCCTCATCCAGATCCCGGGTACTACTCAGGTTGCAGTTGGCGTATTGCTTGCATTCGTGTCTTGTTGGTAGCATCTTGTCGACTACCAGCCATCCTAGCATGGTTTTCTGCAACGTCGGTTTGCCCCGACCCATCTTGATCTGTCCTGCGCACATTAAATCCCAGAATCGTTCCGTCCCGATTACCAGGTCGATTTCCGACGGGATGTTGAACTGCGGGTCCGCCAGCCTAATGTTGTTTGGTATGCCGAATGACCGTTTGTCAAATCTTATATATGGGACCTTCCTCGTTATGGTGGGCAGAATTATGCACTGCAATTTGAAATCGTAAGAATCGAATCTCGACCTAACGCATACCTCAGTCATCGTCAATGCCCTGGACACCTGTTGATTGATTCCTGTGATCTCTATGTTAGCGCTTCTTAGTTCAAGGTCTAGCCTCCTGGCTAACGATTCCGTCACAAAATTAGATTCCGCACCGCTATCCAATAAGGCCTTGATTTGTACGAAATGACCCTCTTTGTGTTTCACCTTGACCATCACGGTCGATAACAGCATCTGACTTCCTTGGTACGCCGAACAAGCATGCCCGCAAGCAGCGGATCCTGCTCGCTCCGATTCCGACTCGATTGTAGTTTTCCCACCTTTCGACTCGGCCGTGGATTCTTCTTTAGCACCCTCTTTATGTAGCAAGGAATTGTGTCGTTTATTACACGTTTTGCATCCGCCTGAGGCACAATCTTTAACCATGTGCTTAGACTTCAAACAGTTCAAACACAAACCCTTGGACTTTATATGCCTAACTCGTTCATCCACTGATAATCCCTTAAATTCTTTACATGCGTAAATGCTGTGATTGCCCTGGCAACAAGAACACTGTAATTTAGTGGCGGCCACGTTGCAACCTTTAATTCTACTCGCGTTACCCGACTGGGCACTGGAATCGACCTTGCTACCCTTACCGATTTTAGCTACGGCCTCTAACGTTTGGCATCGTTTCTTTAAAAATTCTACCAGCTCGTCGAACGCAGGAACTCGTGTGGATTCTATCGAATTTTCCCATTCCTTAATCGTTCTGATGTCTAGTTTGCCCGAAATAACGTGAATCAATAGATCGCCCCAGTACTCAATGGGTCTTTCTAACGCGCGCAAAGCCCTCGTGTGCTTCAGCACACCGTCCAACACCTGCCTGATAGCAGCGCCGTCCTCCCTCTTTACTACCGGCAAATCGAAGATCGCCTTGATGTGATTCTGTATCAATCTTTTGTTGTCGTACCTCTCTTTGAGCCTAGCCCATGCGTCCCTATAATTATCACCGGTCATTTCTAATGACGACACGACCTCGGCGGCGTCACCCTTTAGAGAAGATTTCAGGTAATGAAACCTTTGAGTGTCATTCAATTCCCTATTGGAATGGATTAAGGAACCAAACACATCGAAGAACGAGTGCCATTCCTCATAAGCACCGGAAAATTTAGGTAACTCGATTCGCGGCAACCTTATGTTCGCGTTGAATGCTGGAACGCGCAATGCCTCGTTTATGTTAGCGTTAACAGCTGGACCGCGCAATGCCTCGTTTATGTTAGCGTTAACAGCTGGAACGCGCAACCCCTCATTATCGTTAATGCCCGTCTCGTCTGCTGCAATAGTCGTGCGCTCCAGCATTCCCTCATCTGTGGTGACTGACCCATCTTTCATCAGCCTTTTCATTGCTGCCTTTAAACGGAAATATTTGTTTTCAATCTCCTCATTTTCCTCGTCCTGATCCGCTTCCGATGCCGTGTCACCATTCGCGGCTAGATCTATTTGAATCTCCGAGAACGTGGCATACACCTCGTCCAATTTTTCAACTCTCAACTTAACCTCCTCGACATCTACCGACAGAGGCTCTATGCTATTTACGAATGTTTCCAACCGCGTCATGGAAGCCTTCGCCGCACGCTTTCGATACGCTAACTTTGACGCGCTCGCGTTCTCGTTCGCCATTCTCAACTGGATGATGCTCGACGCTTTACTAACTTGACCGTTCTGCTTACTGAGCTTTCACGGAAACTAGCCCGATCACGCCCCGATCATGTACGGAACCTAGATCATTCACAAAGAATTATCACGGAATTCAGACCGTTTACAAAGAATTGTCACGGAATTCAGACCGTTTACAAAGAATTGTCACGGAATTCAGACCGTTCGCACAGAATTATCACGGAATTCAGACCGTTCGCACAGAATTATTACGGAATTCAGACCGTTCGCA